TTTATCTTACTGGATGAATATGGTAAGAATCAAGAATCTTACCYGGTATGAGYGAGACAAGAACCAAGAGTCTTACCCGGTAAGTGAAAGCAACRCATYTTACYACGGTAAGSGCTTACCGGGTAAATTGTTGCATACGATAMCGTTTTGGTGGACTAAAATCTTATTCGATAAGTAAATGATAGTGTTAAATTTACCGRTAAGCAMTTACCGGGTAARTGTTTTSTAAACAGCCCTTAAATCTTATATTGGTTCAATTCGTTCTCATCGTATATGTCATATGCTCACACACACAAAAACACAAGAAAAAAGACACACAAAATGCTTCCCATCTACTGCAACTCTTTTTGGAAAACACTTCGAAGAAACATATTCGTACTTTTTACCATCTGTTGGTACATATTTGATGATAATCCCTACACTATGTGTTCATATCATAAATTCATAGTTCGGACACACACACACACAGACATATATATATATATATATATATATGTATGTATATTAATGTAAAAACATAATCACAAGGCCAGAAATTAACGAAGAACGATAACATTAGGGTTGCAAATACTGATTAATTAGTGAGATTTGAGAATAAGAACGAATGTACAGATCCATAATTAGAATTAACAGATAAACTGCCGGATCTTAATAAAACTCGTGATTTGAAAACAAACGGTTTTTCAGAAACGAACGATGAATCTCCTCAAGTTCAATTCAACATTTGATCGTTTCAGAAAATCTCAACTCGATTAGTTTGAACTAGAAACTAGAAAGCAAATTAGTCAAAGCATTTCAATCGAATAATTGAATTAATAACCATTCGAATCTGCAGAAACATTCGATTGAGCAGCTAATTACAAGTAGAATTATATGATGTGTGATAATTTGCAGATCGATCGGTACAATGAATTCAATGGAGAAATTAAACGAACCTGAGCATATTTAGCTCTAACATATGGACCATCGCCGGCGGGAACTTTACGAAGAACATGAAAACTGTCGTCTTCTTCTTTCATCCTCGAACTCACCTCCATATCTCTCTCTCTCTCTCTCTCTCTCTCTCTGTGTCTAGAAAATTACAGGCAATAATGATATGATGAAGGAGGTGGGGAGTTGAAATGAAATGAATGTGGATGCATATACGTCCACATACATTTATGACTTTTATCACGTTAACGGGTTTCGTTGCTTTTGAAGAGACTTCTCTACCCCATGTCACCCATTACAATAATTAACAATTAAAATAAAATTTTAAAATAGCCATTTTTTATATGTGATTTGACCTTTAGTTATTTGTCTTCTCAAATCATTAAAATTAGGAGGTGTTTAAAAACTTGACCAACCTAACTCAACGTAAAATAACTCAACCTGAAACAACATGATGTCTAATCGAGTTATAAAAGTTTCAAACCATAGGTATTGGGTTGATATTGAGTTGTTATTATTTTAACTCAACCCAACAGGATGAACCCGATATCATTTTATTTTTTGGATTTAATATGATGGTTGAGTTTATATTAATATATATATTAGACAATTACATTATAGCGCTCTTCATATATACTTATTTTCAATCTATTCTCCATCTCTATAGAACTTATTCGTATATATGTTCAGTAACTGTGAACATATATGTAAATTGAGAAAATTAATTGAATATGATATAGGTAAGAAGTATGGATAAGTTGTATCAAATGGTTAATGATGAAAATTAAATTATGAATAGAGAAATAACATATTCAAGGTTAGAAAAATATTTTAATGTAACAAAGTATCAACCCGACTAACCCGTACGGTTTGGGTTGAGTTGGGTTGGGTTGGGTTGCACTTTGGTTTGGATTGGGTTAGGTTACGATTTTTCAAACTGCAAGCATTGAGTTGAGTTGTTCAAATGTCTTCAACCCGATCAACCCAACCCATGAGCGCCCCTAATTAAAATGCACTACCTTCATAAATGATAAATCCGTAATTTTGCAGAGTGGTCAAAGTGTAAACAAAAAAGAAGTTTCGGAATCAGGTCTGCAAGTGCAAGGGCCAAATAGATAAAATAGATATAGGTCTGCAACTTGCAACTTGCAACTTGCGGAGGTGTTGGAATTAATTTACAGATTTGGTTCCTACACTTGCGGATCTAGTTCATCAACTTATTTTTTACATTTTGACCGTAAATTGTGAAGGTAGTGACATTTTGGTGATTTTAAGAGAGAAATGATTAAGAGATGAAATCAATAACTGAAAATGGTTATTTTATTTAATTTTCATTTAACTTATCATCTTATTTTAGTTAGG